AAGCATTAAATATGACCAAATATATTATTCTTGAAAAGAACATTTTTGAAAGACCCACACAAGTTTTTTTTGTTGATATTTTGAAGGATGCTATTAACAAATTAATTTTCCACAACTTTTTAAATTTCTTTCCTTGGAAAAAGGTTTGTCCCTTCATCATTGTTCATATAGACAAACATGAATCCCAATGGATACTTAATCAGGTCCAGCACAGTTTTTGTCAGTAAATTCACCCATGCATGTAAAGTACTCAAACACAAACAAATCAGTAGAAAAATGTGTCGTGTGAGGAGATGTTATTTAGTGCCTTCTTTTTGATACCAGTGTTTTGCATGCACGAGTAGACACACTGACAAAAACTCAGAACTCGACTTTCAGTAATTAATTTTTAAAGATTTTTTTTTTTAATTTTCATTTCATAGAATATTACCTTGATCAAGGTATTTTAAATACCTTGATAAAGCTATATAGCTTTATCAAGCTATATACCTTTATCGGGGTATTGTGCCGGACCTGTTAATTGTACCAAGTTTGGTTGAAAATGGTCCAGGGTGTGGATCTTGAGAATGTAAAGTTTTAAAGTCTACAGACAAACAGACAACTAGACAGATGCTTGACAAAATGTGATCAGAAAAGCTTTTTTGAGCCTTTGGCTTTTGTGAGCTAATGATAGTAATGAACTAATGTTGAGTAAGCTCCTTCTCAAACTTTTTTTTTTTTTGGGGGGGGGGGGGGAGGGGGGGTGCCACCAATCTCCACCCCCACCCCCTGACATATACCCGCATCCCCCAGATACCTGCAAGAATCTTAAAGATGATGTATATCAGTTCATTGTGCTACCTACATTGTAATTTGATAAATGTTTACAAGGCATGCATTGGTTCTGTGACTTGGCCATGTGGGTTTCACTTTACTCATTAGGCCTAAAGACTGAGTAATGTTCAGCTAAAAAAATATTCTAGCATTTCTGTTTTTTTTTTTTACCTCATTCCTCTCGTCGGCTGCCCTACAAAACCGTCATCCGTGAAATCCATCCTCGTAGATAACACGAAAAATCCAGGAAAATCTGTGTGTATAAGCTCTGTAAATCGCAGTGTAATCTCGCCAAAGTCCAATATCAAGTGAATGAGTACCAGTTCACGTGGAGAAAACCCCGCATAAAGCCTGCTGTGGTCACTGGTGCGTGAATGTGTGAATAGCAGGGTAGACTGTGTATGAGAGACGTCGAGGGTTTTTCATGAATTTCTCATCTTAGGGCAGTTGGGAAAAGTCAAAATACAGCTATGCACCCACATGATTTTTCTCGGTTTTCGCATATTTAATTGACATCACACATAACATTTTACATGATTTAGAGAGCACAGGTACTTGTGAGCAGATACACTCCCGATCCTTTTTTCATCGACGCACGGCAATCACGAATATCTCGACTCCCTGTTGTAAATTTCTCCAAGAAAATTGCAAATTTTTTATACTTATTTTCATATCAACAATAACATTAGAGCTTCATTGAAATTCATGTAATACTAGTCAAAATTCTGTATTTGGTACTTGATAAATTATACGAGTCTTATGCAGGTAGTCCGATCCTCATGTTTATAAAATTAGCAGTTACATGTAAGTACTAAAAAAAAGTATCTCTAAATTCACAAAGGTATGCATGTAAATTTATCCACCACAGTATTTCTTTAAAATTAAAAATCAGATTTATTAAATCATTTATTTTTTAAAGGAAAATTGTCAAATCTCTCATATTTTTGCAGAAAAGGCAAATTAGAACATCAGCAATGCATTTTCTAATTGCAAATTGATCAACAAATATATTTTAGGTTAAAAAACAATAGGTATCTATAGGCATTTAGAGAAATTTTCATGAATTTTATACTTATTTGGTATTTTGTCTTCTTTTTCCTTTATATATTCTTTAATACATAGTGTAAAAGTTTTTACTATCATTGCAAGACACTACACAGCACTTCTCATTTCATATGCTAATAAGAATTGGCATCTAAGGCTAAATTCAAGAAAAATCTATTTTCTCTAAAACTGTATTAATTCTTTCTTGTTTGTTATGGTACAAGTGTCAACTTTTATTAGATCTTTAATAAGACTTCCAAAGACCTTAAATCTTATAAAAATGAATTCAATGAAAACTGTTGCATAAAAAATTCATTTTCAAGCATCATTTTTATGCATTTCAAATTAATTTTTGGAGTTATATCCTTCTGGCTGAGGATTGGATATTCTTAAAATTGATCCAAGAAATACAGGGGCGTAGCCAGGGTACCTTTGATGTAGCTGAAGATCTGTAGCGTTAGGGCACAGGCACCTGACGTTACTTATTTTTCTTGTAATAAAAAATATACACATACCTAATAATATTTATCAGATCTATTAGGTATGTGTTTCCTTTTTTTCTTACAAGAAAAATAAGTAACCACTTAGGTGCCTGTGCGTTAGGGTTTTATATATTTGTCTTTGACCATAACGCTACAGATCCGGTAGTGCAAAAAAGACTTTTTTGCGGCGCAATATTTTTTGCGCTCTTTTGGGGGAGAATTTCTCCTTTTTCCAGCATCGGTCAATCAACTAGCTACTTTTCAACTCCTAAATTCTAGACACGGTATCTGTAGCGTTATGGTCAAAGACAAATACGTATATAAAACCATAACGCTACAGATCTGCAGCTACTTTTGATGTGGACACCCGAGTATACTGGAACTGTCAGAATATTTTTTTTTCCGTAGAGCTACAGTTCTGCAGCTGATTAAAAGTCTTCAAACCAGAATTGAAAAAACAAAAATAAATGTAAATAACATTAATTCAAAAAGCCACTTTTGTGTCACATGCATGTACAAGAGAATAAATTCAATCAAGGTCTAGATCTAATCATTTATTTCTCTTTTACCCCTTTGAAGCCTAAAAAATCTCATTTCTTGTTACAATACATATTTTAAAATATGAGAAAATCTTTTGCAATGTAGGGATATTTTCTTTTTTTCAAATCAAGTTTTACTATTAAAAATATTGTAACGTTCCCACAATAGTCTATTCTTAGAATGCATGCATGTTCAATATGAACATGTAAAAGAAGTTGAATTCCCCCCCCCCCCACCCTCAAATTTGAGTTTTGTTGTCCTTATATTTTATTCACATACATGATGATACACTGTAAACAAAATAAATACTGTAAAAAAAAATCGATAGGCGTTGGTCTTAATTGCCATTGCATTATTCATGTTAATAAATGATTGCTTCAAATGAGTAATTATTTGATTCTATATAGTTTCTGCATATTTATGCATAAAAGCAAGTTATTTAATTATAAATTGAGGTAATATGTTTAACGATTTTTTTTTTATTAATAAATTTTGGAAACAGTAAGCTAATTCATTTGGGTTTCACAAACATTCAGTTACCAATTAAGGTGGAATGCCACGCAAAATTTTTATCTTATAGATCTTTAAGTCATTTTAAACAGTGGTTTCAACATTGAAAGGCTATGGTTCAGCTTTCAGCCCTTGAAAGTAGTGGCCAACTTTTTCAAAGCCAACTTACTATCACTTCCAATTTTGTCCCTACAATTCTTGATAATACTATACTTTGGTAAAAGTGGGGGGGGGGGGGCAAGCATGCTTTCAATGAACATTTACTATGTAAAAAACCCCACCCCCTGTTGATACGTCCCTGTAATTAATAATATGTCTGCTGATAGATTGACTGCTTTCCAACCCAGTTTCAAGAAAAGTTCTAAAATATTAAAAAAACAAACAAACAAAACTAGAGGTTCTGTGAGTAATGAGCTCACTAAATGATATCCCCATGTGTTGCTTATTGTTTTACGGTAATGTGTAAAGAGGAATAACTCGTCCTACCCGCACCTCAGATCTCCAGATTTCCGCATTATTCCGCATTTTTTCCTCATTTTAATATGGAAAAAATGTGGAAAAAAATACGGAGAAAATTAACAATACGGAAAAGCAGAAAATATACGGAAATAATCCGGAAAATAAACGGAAATAATACGGAGAATTGGACTTAGTCTGTTTTTCATCTGGAAAAATATTGAACTCTTAACTTAGAATATTTTTCATCCGGAAAATATACGGAGCTCTGGACTTAGAATTTTTTCATCAAGAACAAGATGTGTTTGTGAGACACAGTAGCACCTGGCGGCAACATTAAGTTCTAAAAAGCAATTTTTAGCAAATGGGTCTCGGTCAAGGTCACACAATCATTGTTCTTGGTGTTATTTGAAAGCACTTTATTAGTGTAGTATGCATACCAAATATTAAGTCTCTATCATCTATGGTTCAAAAGTTATGGCGAAAATTCGAAAAAAGCTATATTTAGCACATAGGTCACAGTCAAGGTCACAAGGTCATTGATCTTGGTGTCAGTTGAAGGTGCCTAATTAGTAGAGTATGCATACCAAATATGAAGTCTCTATCTCTCACGGTTTTAAAGTTATGGCGAAAGTTCGAAAAAGCTATTTTTAGCATATAGGTCACAGTCAAGGTCACAGACCTTGGTGTCAGTTGAAAGTGCCTAATTAGTGGAGTATGCATACCAAATATGAAGTCTCTATCTCTCACCGTTCAGAAGTTATGGCAAAAGTTCCAAAAAGCTATTTTAAGCATAAAGGTCACAGTCATGGTCACAAGGTCATTGACCTTGGTGTCAGTTGAAAGTGCCTAATTAGTGGAGTATGCATACCAAATATGAAGTCTCTATCTCTCACGGTTCAGAAGTTATGGCGAAAGTTCGAAAAAGCTATTTTTAGCATAAAGGTCACAATCAAGGTCATAAGGTCATTGACCTTGGTGTCAGTTGAAAGTGTTTTTGTAGTGGAGTATCCATACCAAATATGAAGTCTCTAAGTCTCATGGTTCAAAAGTTATGGCGAAGGTTAAAGTTGACAACAGACAAACAAACAGACAGACATACAGCTAAACAGACAAACAGGACAAAAACAATATGCGCCCCCAAAAAATTTGGGTGCATAAAAACTGTCTTGGAGTTAACAGCAGTTCTCTGTTTCTCCTGAATGTTATGTACAATTTGATCGGGATCGGAAGAATGTTTCAAAAAGTCGGGCTCAGTGATCAATTAATTTAAACAACAGACCGCCAAAATTTAACCTTGGCCTCCATGTTGCAACGTCTGCTCTGTCTAAAGGAAGAAGTTTGTTGACCAGACAGCCTGAGATCGTATTGCTGTATCAACCAAAAGATGCAGATACACGTATTTCATATGCGGTAGGTCAGTCATATTTTTTTTAACATGTGTGTCACTGTGATGATGAAAATAAATACTCTAGGCCTAGGACTGAGCTACCAGGCTATGTACGTTTCAGCCAATATGCCCATGATTCAAATCTTTCAATCAGCTCATAGAATTTTATTATGGTTAACCACAATTAAAGGTGTTAATTTTGGTGAGCCATGGGCTGTAATCTCGAGCAATGATTTACCATACATTTTTTTTTTGGTAGCGTCTGTGCATGAGGAGGAGATTTCTGAAAAAGAATAAGTGCTTATTCAACTTACTGCGATTTTAACGGGCTTAAAGCTTGGTCCATGGATGGTTATGTTTGAGGTATATATATTCTTTTATTTCTTTTTTTATTGCTTGTTTAATTAAAAACAGTCAACTATGAAGTTGTCATTATTATAAATAATATTTTAAACAAATTGATATTAAATTGAAGAACCCAAACTTGTGTTTATAAAAAGATTTTAAAAGGAATAAAAGCAATGAATTTAAATATTATTAATATTGCACCATTATAATTTAAGAACTTTTTTTTTAGTTGATAGGATTTGACAATTCAACCGCAAGTGCTGCTGCAAGAAATTAAACATGCAGAGACCTTACAAATTACAAAGAAGTCTGAAGAAAATTTTTATTGGACAGATGGGTGTAAAGCACAGACCTGACATATAAATTGAATTGTGAGAAATATGAATCAGGGATGCAGGTAGAAAATGGCAAATGTGATCCAGATTGATAAAAAATGTGTAAAGTTTTTTCTTGTTTTGTAAATATTCAATGCTATGTCAATTGTTATTTTTTCCCCAATACCTAATAGTGTTGAACATTTCACTCCCACTTTTGCTTAAATAGAATGAATAAATTTCCATTTATTTAATATGAATATTAAAAAATGCCACATTTTTTCTATGATGAACTTGTGGCTTAAATAAGAGATCCATTTTTTTTTGCATACATGCTCCTATTTGTTTGTCAAAGATATAAGATCCAATACATTGATCATGAACATAATGTGTAATTTTGTTCATTCATTTATATGTTTTTTTCTCATAATGATATAATAAATTGTATATAATTTTGCACATTGTTGATGGTTTTGTAAATATTTATATATGTATGCATCATGTAGCGGTTTTATTAGCCATTTTATAACCATGTGATTAACTCCGTATTTTCTCCAGATTTCCGTATTTCCGCATTTTATCAACCAAGTAAATACCTCCATATTTTGTATATATGGAAATGCGGAAATCTGGAGAGAATACGGAAAAAGAGTCCAAATACTCCCATCCACATTTTCTCCATATTTTGAATACGGAGAAAATCTGGAAATTTGAATACGGAGAAAATCTGGAATGAATGCGGAAAATTAGTCCAAATACTCCCGTCCGCATTTTTTCCTTATTTTGAATAAGGAAAAAATGTGGAGATCTGAGGTGCGGGTATCAAATGATATCCAGAAGCTAGAAGCTAAAACGAGCCACTTTCTGATTTAGGCCCAGATTTCTTGAATGGCGTTTTTATATAGTACGATTGATATTAACCAATCATCATAGATTTGAATAACATCCATAATTTCCACGTTTGCAGGTGATAGTTCCTTTTCAGCTATCGATCATTAAAGATGTCGCCATATGATATCAACATGTCAGATCATTGAAATTGTGAGTTATTCTAAGTCATCAGGAAGCGCATACAGTAATTACATTTTTCTTTGCAGATCAATTAGACAATATGGACCTAACAAAAGAAATGGACAGACTACAAAGAGACAGGGCCATTGGTCCATCTAAACACAAGAAACAGGTTTGTCTTAATCTATGTATATCCTGGAACAGAAATAACTTCATCCACTTTGAAATGTTAATAATGCTGTTAGCAATTGTGATAATCAGAGATCACAGTGTTATGAGTCATTGACTTAATTCTTTCATGACTACTGCCAATCTGTATTTAGTCTTTCCATGCTTTCCAGGTGTCTGACTTATACAGGGAGATCCAGATCATATTCTTAGCTGACTTAGAAGTAGCAGCCTCTTCTGTCTGGTCACACAACAGCCCCTGGAGAAAGCCCACACCTTGAGGCTGATTCAGCACCTAAGGGCAGACAACTCTCTGGCTGCTGATGGCACCCTGGACCCTGTGAGTCTGTGTCTGTTAATGGCCTTCCTGTACTGTTTTGATGTCAGTCTGTTGGAACATGAAGATGGAAGAGGTTAGTAA